GTGTGTGTGTGTGTGTGTGTGTGTGTGTGTGTGTGTGTGTGTGTGAGAGAGATTTTCACCACAACAAGCCCTGTTCCACCCAGATGAGTAGTTCCAAAATCAATGCAGCTTTACCTCTACTGCAGACAATGAAGCACACTTAAGCCATTCCAACAGTGAAACAGTTTTACCTCTATAGCAAGCGACATGGAGCAGAATAGATCCGTTATATCCCTTTGTTGACTTTCTTTACTTTGGCTTTCTTTGGGGCACCCCTTCTATTTGTTCTTGCAGCTCCCTTTTACTGTGCCTCTCACATACACGGCTGCCCACATTGATTGTGGTGCATCGTCAGCTGCTCACATCCCCGTGTGCCTTAACAGCACACTTGCACATATGACAGGAGGTAGAGTAAAAGGAGATGCATACTTCTACTCATTTTTTAGCTTATTTACTGTTCTCTTAATGATGCTCATCCATATGCATTTTCTAGTACACAAGGGGGGGGGAGGAAGGAAAGGGGTAGAAGATAGAGCTTTATAGGAAGCAAGGGGAGGGAGGAGGGGGGGAGAAGGAGCAGAGGAGGAAAATGGAGGGGCAAAGAACCGAACAGAGGAATGATGAACTTCACAGGATTCTCATTACTCACCGCTGGAGCAGACTATTCTAGAATGGCACAAGGGGCCAATCAGTGTTTGGGTTGCAGGAGATTTTGAATTGAGGAGCAGCCGTCGCCTACGGTAAGTGGCCACCCCTACAGACCGAACAGGAATAGTTCGGGTGTGGACTGTGGAAGCATCATGTCCAATTCTCGCAGTGTGTTGTGTGCTGTAGATTGTCATATGTGTGTGTCTGAAAGACTAAAACGGTGTCCGCATTTTTTTTTATTTTTTTTTTGTTGTTGTTCTCGTCTTTTTTTCTCTACTGTTTTCTTCGGTGTCTGAGCACGTCTTTCCACATGCTCAGTTGGCCTTCTTTGGGCCCGGAATGGCCTTTCAAAACCTTTTTGCATCCCAGGCAGTTACTCTTCATCCAACACTCTACCGGCCCTGAACTGGTACTCGTCAACGAAAAGCAATGAACAGTAGCGGGCCACTAATGGGCCATTGGACTGGTGGTTTAAATACTGGTAATTCTTTGAGCACGGGACATCTGGGCCCAACAACAGGTTTGGAACCCTGTGGGCCCATCTTTGGGAACCTCTGGGCCCATCTCTGGGACCAGACAGACTTCACAGGCTGACAGACTAGACACAGACGTAACAGACTGACGAATTGACCGACAGGCACTGACGGATAGTACACAGAGAAAGAAAAATAAACGCTAACAGATAGGCAGAAAGACGGACTGACCGGACAGAGAGAGACAAACTGGAGTGCTTACTACCTTCCTCATCGGCAGATAATGCCCCATCATCATGGCTGTGTTTGGATCAGAATAGGGTTTGTATTACCTTTTTTTAAGTTTTTTTTTTTTTTTTTTTTTTTTTTTTTTTGTATGTCCGCATACGGTCATGATGATGGGGCCTTATGTTCAGGCCAAGAAGGTAGCAGGGACCAATAGGCAGGCAGGCAGACAGACACACAGACACACAGACACACAGGCAGACATACATACATACATACAGACAGGTAGATGGACAGCCAGACAGACAGGAAGACAGACAGGCAGGCAGGGGCGAAGGTGGATGAGCTGAGAGACTGATAGAGATCTGCTTTATGTTCAGCTAAAAACGCCTGGAACCTTCAAATTGGTCCATGCCTGAAGTGGGGCTGAATGGGACTTTTTACTAGTTTTAGGGTGATAATTCGGGTTGAAACGGTTTTCACCTTTGCAGAAGCAGATGCAGATCCCAGGGTTCGATCCCTAGACCTTACCTGCACCCGTGTACAGTATCGAGTAGACCCCTGTGTGTTTTGAGCCCGCGACCTGTGTTTTAGTAGTGACTGTTGTTGTTGTAGGTCCCTGTAGCTGTAGGGATTCGATCTGTAGATCTGTCAAGTAGGGGTTACAGCTGTGTAGAGGTCGAAACTGCTAGGCTAGAGGTCTGGAGGCAAGTCGTAGGTCCAACTGCGCTAAGTCGGCAGTACAATCCCACTGAGTCGGCAGTACAGTCCCGTTCAGTCAGCGGTACCGGTCTCAGTCACGCTTGTCCAGTCCAGCAAGTACCGTATGGGACTGTGTGCACCAAAGGGCCGATGGAGAAGGGCAGACCAGCGACAAACAGAAGTATAAATCAAGAGGCAGCGTTCAGCTATTCATTCATTTGCTGCAAGCCGTGCGGAAGCACTGCCAGTGCGTCTTGTGTGAGGTGGTCTGCAGATGCCCGAGGTCGAAGTGGGCTGAAGGAATATAGTTCGCCCATAGCCAGTAGTAGTAGAGCGGCCATAGCCGCTGCAGCTTAGAAGTTGAGTTCAGTGTGTGTGAGTTTCGTGTACAGCGAGAGTGTGTGTGCGCGTGGGATATCAAGGGAGATCCAGTGAGTGTGCGCGTGAACAAGTTGTGAGGATACAGTGGCGTGGGGGATGAAGTAAAGGCGCACAGGAGCCATAGTTATTTGAAGCGAGCTTGTATTTGAACTGTGTTCTCGCTTGTGATATCTCTGAGCTTTGTGTGGGTGCCTGGCGCCAGAGTACTTTGCCATCTGTTTACATGCATGCGAAGTGAGAAGAAAGTGAGTCTGATTGCAGGGTCCAGGCCATTTGCAATTATTCTGCATGGCGTGTACGCCATGTAGGCCCATCTTTGAGTGTGAACTGAGTTGAAGGACCAACAGCGAAACGGACTGGCTTGATGGACAGAGCAGCCAATAGATAGGCGGAGACTCCAGAGATACATGCGGGGCGACTGATGAACTGATAGGGTATAAGAGACTGACCGACAAGCATGCAGAACGGTGCTGGCAGATTGACAGAAATATAGGCAGAGAGGCATAATGTACCCTTGCTAGCTGTCCGATGCAAGCATGTGACGTGACCTGCGAGACTGACACACTGGTGGACTGGCGGAAAGGACTCAGTTTTTTTTGTTTTTTGTATTTTTGGAAAGGACTCAGTTACACAAACCTGCAGACGATTGACAGGTGGACAAACAGAGAGATCGGGAGAGATGTACAGAGAGACAGACAAACTGGATGAGCAGTATATGATATCCTCTCACTCAGTAGAACGGATGGGATTAGGGGCAGTGGCTTGGTAGGGCACCCATCCTTGGGTCTTGATGAACACTTAATCCCTTCGCACAAGGGTAATTGAATGCTGCTCATCATTAATGATTGCCCAAAATTGGCTTCCGTTTTGTAATGGGGACGCTGGACCCGGTTTCCAGCCGGATCCATCTTCTACCGGGGTCCTATTCGTGGAGGGAGCTCTTATCACCTCCACGAATAGGTCTATTAAAAAAAAAAAAAAAAAAAAAAAAAGAACGGATGGAATAACGAGATTTCCACTGTCCCCATCTACCATCCTGTGAAACCGCCGCCAAGGGAACGGACTTGGAAGAATCGGCGCAGAAAGAAGATCCTGTCGAGCTTGACTCTACTTACAGAAAAAAAGAGAGAAACACACAGCTTTCTCTTAAGGCACCAGTACACCACATATAGGCCCGCGGATGTCAGCACGAAACCCGCACCACTTCGGAGGCCACCGATTTTTTTTTTCAACCGCGGGCCTGGCCGCACGGCACCCCCGAGTTTTGCTTGTGGTGACAAAAACTTTCTGCAAGGCTGGGGCCGTGTACTAGCGGTTTAAACCACCAGTTCACAGGAGTCTAAGTTGACGAGCGACTTTCCACGGCTTGTGAGACTGCACCCGCACTATTTCAAACTGGCCTGGCCCAAGCCCGAAGCCAACTGCTCTTACCGCGTATACTGGCACAAGCATTCAAAAGTTTCATGACTCACTCCCAAAATTTTGGAGGCTCGGGTCTACCGGACCACAATGGCTGGCGGTGCCAGCCAAAAAAGAAAAAAACTGCACCGCTGCTGGTTCGGCAAAGCTTGGCACGCAGTGTGAGTCCACTGGGCCCAGATGTATTGGCGGTTCAGGAGTTTAGGGTTCAGTGAACTTATAGGGTTTGTTCTTTGGGGTGGGTATCTGAATATCCATCCATAAACCCTACAAGCTTTGGAAGTTTGAATTAAGGGTTTAGGATTTGATGAACTTGTAGGGAGGGTTTACGTCTCTTTACGAAGCTCAGAGACTCTTTTCATGCCATGAAACATTGGATATCGTTTCTTTGGGGGATTTCCTCTTTAGCTAAGTTATTGCGCATTGTCTTCATCTCCTTTTTTTTTTTTTTTTTTTTTTTTAAAACAACACAACCCCCTTTATATTCTGGGAGGGTGCCAGTCCGGTTACTTATTACCGGCAAGCATGAAAACGCAGAGTCAAAAGGTAAAGTAGCTTGATGAATAGCCGGAGACCAGCTAAAGTACCCAGTCCTTTTTTCTTTTTTTTTTCTTTTTTTTACCCGGGTTAGCTTTAATCAACTATAAGACTTGGCCCTAGCTCTGCAGTTCTATCACGACATTCAAAATGAAAGAATTTAAATGAAAGAATTTAAAGTGAAAGGAATAATATAAAAATTTAAAATTATACTCGCTAAAGATAACCAAGTAAAAAACTATCAACAACAGAAAAAGAAACCAGCGTTCAGGAGCCCCATGCAATGTTGTTTCTTTTGAGATTTTTCGCGTACGTCTAAGTTATTGTACGTTTTGTTTCACTCACTAACGAATAGTACAATACAACATTCGCCATCTAAGTTATCGTGCGTTTTTTTTTTTTTTTTTCACTCACTGACAAATTGTGCAATACAACAGTTGCCGTCCTTCAAGCATTCCGTCAAAATTGGAACGATACACAGAAGATCAGCATAGCCCCCTGCAAGGACGACACAACAGCGAACGTCTCCAATTTATGTTGTAATGAAAAGTTGGGAGTGCGGCTAGTGGAAACTAGAAAGACAAACTAATCTGTGAAGGAGACCTACAAAACCCTAAACCAAAGTTGTTGTTTCACATCAAAGAGAGAGGAGAGAAGTGAAAGGAGTGGTGGAGAGATAGCGAGTGAACTCACTCACTCACTCTCGCAGGCCTTGCACCCAATCCAGCTCCAGTCTGAAAGGGCCTGGGCCAGAAACACCTTCTCCGGGACCGCCATTTGCTGCCAAGGACCAGCCCATCCCAACGACCCGAGCCGGGTTCATCTCCATGCCTGTCTTCAGAAACTTCCCCCGCCATGTCAGCATGTACCGATCCAAAGGAACCTTAACTACCGCCCACCGATCTTTGGGCGCAATAATGTACGCCTGCCACGTATTATACTGCCCAGTGCCAGGGGTGTTAACCCAGGAGTCAGTGCGCAAACTGCAGATGTACCACCTCCCATCTCCGTGAATCCTCATCGCGATCGTATTGAATGGCTCAAGATCCATCACCCCTTCTCCATCAGCCGTTCGCACCCCTGTAAAACCACTTCTCTTCAGTCTGGTGGCTCTTGCAAGACTTCCTCCTTTACCTTCGCTTATTTCGGTAGACAGATGGCCCGCAAACACCCCGGTGGTGTTCCTGCCATCCACGTTCAGCGACAAAGAAGCCTCCGTCTGACCTCCGTACTGTGAATCGGAGTACACGACCCACCGCCGCAAATCTGATTCCGAGGCAAACCGAAACAGTTCTCGCTCTGAAGGCGGGTAAATCATGTCAGGGGAGAGCGCTTTCTTGGTTAATTCTATTGACCGAGCCACAAAACGCCGCAACATTTTGGGCAGTTAGATGTAAAACTTCACAGCCAGGATACCAACAATGTCCGGAGAAAAAGTGGGTGGGCGGATACGAAGCTGGCCCAAAAATTCTTAGTTATTGTTCCTTAAGCCACCACTACCTTTGAGAGGCAAAGGCTAAGCTGCAAATATAACCTATACCGCATTCTTCGGAGGCTGGGCGCCACCGGATCAAATGGCTGGCGGCGCCAGCAAAAATGGACGGAAAAAGGTTGCGCTGCTGCGCTTTGGCAAAGCTCAGCGCACAGCTCTACTCCGCCTCGGCAAAAAGAGTCTCGGAGGTAGTGGTGGTGGTTTGAGCAAATTGACCAAAACATTTCATTTCAACAATTTAGTAATTCAACTTATAGTTAGGAGGTCCACCAATCTGCCGGCAAACATAATGAGACATCAGGGACACTTATGCAATACTGACTTTCCTGTGTCATTAACGGGCTGAAGAAGAAGAAGAAGAAAGAAGAAGAAGAAGAAGAAGAAGAAGAAGAAGAAGAAGAAGAAGAAGCACGTAAAGTATTGCAATGGCAGGGAGCGGAACACAAGGGGCAAAGGCGCGGTCTTGAAAGCTGCTCTCCGATCTCTACCACACGTTTGCAGTGAGATGTTCTTTTCCCGCAACCTGCGGAAACTGTCACAGCAAGAAAACAATTCCAAAAACTGAGCATACTACTATGGATATGCCTCTTTGAGTGGTGCAATTCCCTCTGCTGTTGCGATTCCTGCTTTTCACTCTCTGCAAAAAAGAAAAACACAGACCTCTTTTTTTCCTTGGCCGACCTCACATTCTCTACTACAATGTTGCTGCTCTGCTCCTCCTCCTGCAGATGCCTTGGCAGCAGTCCATTGGGACGAGGCTGGTCCTTGCGATGGTCCACGACATGGCCGCCCACATGATTCCAAAAGTAAGGGAAACAGCGACGTTGTTGGCACTCAGTGTTTTAGTTTTTGCAATGTACAACAACCTGCCGCCAATAGACGAACTGTCCACATCACACAGTTGCCAAAATGACAAAGAAGTCAGCCCACCCATGAGAAGGATTGCTGAGTGCAAGGAGAAAGCCTGCACAGTACTATTGGACTGGACCTTTTTCTGCTAATGAACATTTCTATGACGATTGACGAAGCTATTTGAGTCAATCTGATTGATGGAATTTCGGACGAAGTTCCCCCTCCCCCCCAGATGTGTATAAGAGACAGGACTGATAGAGATCTGCTTTATGTTCAGCTAAAA